ACACACACACACACACACACACACACACACGTAGTACTCACAGTCTGCGCCCATTTTTTACACTGGACAAAAAAATACATTTAAACCAGCTGGCGTTAACTTAGAGCACAGTCTGAAATGTACACCGAAGAAAACCTGCATCACGGCTTTTATACTGCGGTCAGACCAAACGTGGTCTGACCGTCTGCCTGGTTCACATGTTCATGTGGWCGGCAGCTCTTATGAACGGAACAGCCAGAAAAGGCCGCTTTAACACTTKAAATATATATCTATATCTTGGGTGGCAAGAGTGATGCTCACTCATGTGCATCGTACGGCCTGCCTGAACATCACAGGTTCCATCAGAACAACACCCACGACAGCCATGCAMGTCCTACTGGACCTGGCTCCWCTAGATTTRCATATCTTAGGGGAGGCCGCATCCAGTGCAGTAAGCCTACACCAGTCTGGTAGGTGGAAAAACCTATCTGACTCACAGCACACTAGAATCTGGGACTGGGCAGTTGCTCATTTTCCAGTAACTGCAGGACCTGGAGACAGAATGGTCAAAAAACACAATTTTGAGCCAAGTTTTAAGACAAAGATTGAAGACAGGTCTGCCTGGATTATTTTTTCAATGGTGAACCTGTCTCTCAGCTGTTTCTACTGTTTTACAGATGGATTCCTTCTGAAGGGGTCAGTAGGTGTAGGGGTGCTGATTTTGCACAATCATAGTGAGAGAGAGTACAAATATCCACTAGGTTGTTTTGTAACTGTATCTCAAACTGAGATATATGCAATCCACCAGTGTGTGGCATCTCTCAAGGAACTTCAGTGTACACAGAAGGAAATATTCATCCTAACAGGTAGACAAGCTGTTATTAGAACTCTCCGAGGGCCACACTTTACATCATTACTGACTTGGGAGTATGTCAAAGCAGTCAACCAACTGGGGAGAGATAACAGTGTTACTGTTAAATGGGTACCAGGACATACTAACATTTATGGTAATGAGAGAGCTGACTACCTCGCAAAAGCTGGCAGTCAGGCTCACTTCAAAGGACCAGAGCCTGTTGTAGGTATCCCAACAACAGTCTGTAGGACTGCCCTACAGGCCTGGATTAGACGTCAACACTCAATCCRCTGGAGGGCGCTGACGGACTGTAGACAGGCACGGGAACTGATAAATGGCCCAAATCCTAGGTTTGAGAAAGCTCTTGTTGCCCTGACAAGGAAAACTCAAAGTACACTGGTTGGAATCCTAACTGGGCACAATCTACTCAACTGCCACAAAATGGTGATGGGACGCCATGATCTCTTTGCACTACTTTGGCAAATGCCTGGCCCTGAGTAGTCAAAGGAAAACAATTCTTGAAGAATCTTTTATAGATCCTGAGAAGCTCAGAACACAGWGTTTCTAACCTGGTGTCCTTTAKCTGAAGGACRTGAAGCTTTGATTAAAAGTTAAGTGTCTCTTTKGGKAGAGTAATGTGCCCACTTATGAGGCCCCCGCTCACATGGGTTTTTATCCATCCCCATCCTCATTCACCATTACCAATACAGGCAAAGTAACATGTGCTTTTTCTTTTTGGTGAAGCAACATATGCTGTTTATCTTCCTTCTTTAACGGATAAGAGAGCAGGMGGACATAAATATATTTGAAAATTCTGTGTTGCTGACAACTTTATAGCACTGCTGGCCCTCCCTCCAAAAAGGAGCAGAAACAAAAGTCATGCATAGTCAGCTCAGTTTTCTACAACCWTAATAATGTGATCAGRATAAGTGTTTAAATGCATGCTGTTTGAATTATCAACTGGCATAAACCACKAAGAATTGAAAGTCAGTGAAAGTAATATTTGAAGTAATGGAAACATTGCACATGTGTTTACCGGCATGAAAAAGAGCATTAGAGGGGCATGACAGGGAACAGACTTCTGCCCCTCCRGTTTTGGTGCAGGTCAGATGAGCTCGTGGTGCTGGCTTTCCGTTGGGAAGACATTTCACTGCCTCTGAAGGACACAAAAAGTTACATCAACACCCAAACAGGCACAAATTCATTATGACACCACAGAGCATAGCGCAGTCTATTTTGAAGTGATATTCTAATAGTTGTAATTAGATGGTACTTTATTAGCTGTTACATCAGTCAACCTATTGTACATATTTTTTTGCTGTGGGGAAAACCRGAGTACCCAGAGAAAACCCACTTAAGCACGAGGAGAACATGTGAATTCAGCACAGAAAGACCCCAGATCCGAACCGGGGATCGAACCCAGGACCTTCTTGCTGTGACGTATCAGTGCTAACCACTCATCAATAATGCTGATATATTGATAAATGAAGAGAAAACACAGAGCCAAAAACAAACAGAGCCGGTCCTTACCAGTGCAGTCTCTCTTGTTCCAGTGGAGTTGCTGTCCTGGGGGACACACACACTCATAGCTACCCTGGGTGTTGATGCAGCCATATTCACAGCTCCCATTGTTAATGCTGCACTCATCAACATCTAATGCAAAGACAGAGAACATGCAAACACAAGTACTCCAACACACTTTTGAACTAGGGATGGTTTTAGTTCATATTAAGTCTGGRGTGAAACTATTCTTACCAAAACTGTAAAAATATGAGCTTGCAAAACATAGAATTAGTTACAGATGATTTGATCAATGCCATTAGACAATTAATGGTTAACAAATTAACAACATATCCCATGTTGTCCCCTGACATCCCTGTGCCCTCGCCACACTGTTTACACCCACCCTGACATGACTCTCTCAGACCATTAATTCATTCATTCATTACTGAACATGGCTCAGTAAAGAATGAATCAGTCATCAATCAGTGAATCAGTGATTAAAACCCATATTTAACAAAGAAAAAGTAAAATAACCGTGTTCCCTAAAGTGATTTTGCATAAAATGCAAGATAAATTTTTAATGTTTATAAAATAAGTGAGCTTTCTACCCTTCATTTCAAAGATGCATGAGATGGTGAGGAATGGGTTGTTTCTTTTGGTAAACCTGGTTGCTTGTATCTCACAAGGTCTGCCAACACGGTACATTGGGTGGCTGTGGAAGAGTGGTCAGGGGAGTCGTCCTGGAACCGGAAGGTCACCGGTTCGATCCCCCATCCAGCTGTCTCAGTTGTTGTGTCCTTGGGCAAGATACTTCACCCCTAATGCCTCTGATGTATGTCCCATCAGTGTATGAATGTGATTGGCASTGATTAGTCTCCATGGCTGATTGTACATGTTAGCTTTGTAGGACATCTGGTAGACTGCTGTGTGAATGGGTAAACGAGGACACAGACTGTAGTGTGAAGAGCTTTGAGTGTCCTGGTTGAGTAGAAAGGTGCTATAAAAGCACAGTCCATTTACATTATCATGGTCATATCATAAGCATGATATTAGTGTGGCCAGTCCTGCTTCGAATTCAGAGGTGCAGAGAAGCCCTGGGTTAAGGATACACTGCCACCCCAATAATAAACAATAATCTTTCAGCAAAACATTTGTGCAGCATGCTCAATATGATTTTGGACCTATCCCACTCTACCCCCACATTAGAGAAGCCCACTGTATTCTGATTTCATACTGCATTCGTGTGAATAAAGATTCTGCCAAGACCTTGTGAGGGTCAAAGTCCTGCATCAAGTGTTCTGAGTGGTAACTAACAATGTCCCTATTTATAGCAAGCAAACTCTAAATCTAGAGGAAAGGCACAAAATGCAATCTAAGAGTATCACAATACTTACTAGCTATGTTTACATGCACAACATTTTTGATCGGACTGAAATGTATTCGGATTGAATAATCAGAATGTATTGTTTACATGGGCACAATYCGTCATGAYGAGTGTTTACATGCACCAGGCTTTTATTCAGAACAGAAGCACTGGCATGAGCAGTTGCTAACTTTAGCTAAAAAAAAACAGAAAAGGTTATACTTTCATCATGAACATAAACAAACTGCTTCTGAACTCAGAATAGACCTGTGACAGGTTTTAATAATGGTGGAGAGATGTTACTGCACTCTGCAGGTGAC